GATGAGTGCAGCTCAAAATACACCACATTCAAGTGCATCCTCTGGAGTATTTTCAGCTTTAGCATCTCTCCAATAAATGGTGAAAGGGGAATGATTTGGGGTAACAGGGGAATAAGGATTGCTGCGGTCTCTGAGATGTTGCTGAGTACTGTAATGCTGCGTGGTGAGTGCCTGAGGATCTTCAGACCTTTATGTCACACTTTAAAACACGGACTGATAAAGCTTTGAAAACCAGCATTCGATGGGGTTTCTGTGCTTTGCTAGGGCTGGACTGTTGCTTGGGATGTGGGAGAAGGAAATAAAACAGATTAATGCTTTCTGCTTTCCCTGCACGTGAGCTATAAGGGGAGAGGAGGGAACTTCTGTCACCGCCTAGCACTGAGTTGGTGGGCTGTCATAGTTCAGTGCCAGTACAAACCAGCAGATCTCTCCTGACCAAGGAAATGGGAAATTTTGTGACTCAGAGGGGACATCTCTATGTATCCTGGGAAAATGGCGAGGCAAAGCCTTCTTAAACACGGTGGCTTGCTGAGCTCTGTGCTAAAAATCACAGTCCTGACTAAACAGTCTATCACTCTTGGTTGAAGCAGCCCAGATGAAAAGACACATTTCTAAAAAAAGTTTTTAATGCTGTTTTCTGAAAAAAAATCATTACCTCCTTCAACTTTTCAACAAGTATAAGTCTCACAGCTTTCCTGCCTCCTCTGGAATTACTAGGTCATTGCAGGCATCAAAATTAATGAAAAAAAATTGAAAGATTCAGCAGAAAGGGAAATTCTACTGGAAAAATATTTCTTAATATCAAAAGTAATTCAAGAATAATTAATATATTTAGCAGAATAAGAAATGCAAACTTTCTGATGCTTAAAAGAATACACATGAAGGAGAATACAAGACTTTGGGTTTTGTTTTTTTCTTTAAAACACCAATTAATTTCAAAAAGTAAGTGTTTCCATGTGCTTCTGGGGCTTTACGTCGGTGGGATTTCCACTGCCTAAATTTTTGCAATACCTTGAACTCAGCTAATTAGTCAAATTCAGTCAATGCAGAAAGGGAGCTCTCTTTGCTTCTCACCTTCATTGCTGGCACATTAGTGAGAGCAGTGCCGCAAGCCGTGGCCTTTGGATTTCATCCCACATGACAGATGGGTTACGCTAAAACACACTTCCCCATGTGCCCATTCATGAGCAAGTCTGCTACTTAGCACTGAGGAAATGACAGAATGGTTATGGCTAGCTTGGAGGTGACTTTGAGCAGGGATGAGAGAAGAGGAAAGGTGGATCAGGGTTAAAATAAAATAAATATATATTTAAAATAAATTGCTATATGCAATTCAGCTGAACTTTCTTGTAGGAAACAAAGCTGTCTAGTTTCTCTGTGATACAGACTGCCATTCCTCCATGGCACTGGCTTTTAAGCTGATGCAAACATAGAAGAAGAGCTGGTAACCTGTAGCTCTGTATTCCACACTAGTCTAACAGAAAAGAAGAGTAACTAATATATGGGATCCTCTAGCACTCCCATAGCACCGCTAATAGAAGAAAAATCAATATTAGTTCCAATATGAATGGACTGTTGGATTGACTGAAGAGGGAGCTTTGAAACAAATATCTAAGAAATGTTTGGATGAAATGGACATCTTTACAGACATTTGGTCTGCATTTCTGAAATGTAGATGATTAAATCCACATTGTTGGCTTCTTCCCCCTCTGCACTATGTCTTTCTTTACATCTTGCAAAAAATTTATGAACAAAGTTATTGTAAATCTGCAATGTCTGTCTTGTCACTTTTAGATTCTTTTTCAGAAGTGCTGCCTTGCCAATGTAGATATGCAATCCTGTATGATTAATATTTATTACTTATAATTCTAAATACAATGGAAGGTCACCAAAAATACCCTGCCTAAAGGAGTCTGGAGCCCTTTAAAATCTCACTGGTGATGGATCCTGACTCTAGAGAACTGAGCTCAAAAATTTTAGCAAAACACTTTTCTATGTAGGATTTCCAGTATTTCCTTCTTCTGACTATGGCTAAAGCCAAAAAGCACAAAGGTTGAGCAAAAGTTACAGGTCTGAAAACATGAGCTTGGATTTCAAATCCAAACAAAGGTCAAGGAATGCCTGAACCTGTCCATAATCTTGGATCAGCCTATAATAGAGCTATGAGTAAGATGCAAAGTTAGGATGCAGAATAAGACTTGAATTCACACAGAACGGGTGCGGTAGTTGAAAACTGTTTAATTTTCCTCTTATTCTTTCTCATATCCATCAGTACATTATATTGAATTTTTTTGGGAGTGTTATTAGAAAAATGAAGATATTTAAGATTTTTTTATTATTAATTAAAAGGAAGGTGCCTTGGGGATTTTCAGGTTTTATAATGAAATCCTAAAAAGATTTTAAGAACATGTAAATCATCTTACAAAAAGCTTGTTTTCTTTTTGGTATAAGCGGAACCGTTTTTAAACATAATTTTTTTAAAAACAGATGCAATTTGAAATCACTGAGATCAACTGTGTTTTGGCCCTTTTCTAGCAAAAGTAAGACATATTACAACATCTCAGAACCACATGATTCAGCAAATTGGTGAAGATTCACAGAGGCAGAAGAAATCGGGACAGACCTGAACTGGTTCACTTTGCCTGAAATCTGCTGCATGTTTGGACAATCTTCTTTAAGGAGCTAAACATAATAAGCACAGAGCAAGAACCTGCATCTGCCTCTGTGTCTTCATTCAAAGATCCACTGCAACTGTGATTAAGCAAACCCACTAATTGAAGTACAAACCTGGAAAAAGACAACTAAGAAAAATGTAGATTCTGTTGATCGGTATGCTCCTAGCCAAATCATACTGAAAGTTAAAAAGTCCCAGTGACCATTAATCAGATAGAAGACTTTTCATTAGAAATGAATTTGCAGAGCATTGCTAATACTTTTCAAAACAGACAGAGCCATCTTGACCAGCATGCTGAGTGAAAACAAAACCAGAAAGACAGATGGAAAGGACTGAGTCAATTAAAATAAATAAATAAAGAATTGCCTTAATTTAAAAAAAAAAAAATCACAAATAATTCCAATCTCATGAAGAAATGTTTTTAACAAGCCACATGTGCTTGTGCAGACACTTCTAATCTCATTAGATTTTTCTGGCTGCTACCAGTGTTCTCTGAGCCAGCTGATTTCTCAGCAATATTTTAAAGAGTGCGAGCCTTTGCCCTCCAGTCTAGCCATTGTTAAAATAGCCCATTCTAGGGGAAGACTTGGGAGTTCATGGATTTTCTTCTAAGGTTTTGGAAAGTTCAGAACAAATTGACCATTGCATGTGAAACAATAGTCAACCACAAACTATCTTCACAGTCAACGAGTAACATTGTGCTCCCAGCTGGGTTTGTCTGAACAGTGGAATAATCACACCAAAGCAACAGGATGGCTTCAGATCGTCATCAGCATCACACGGCAGAGGCTGGCTTTCGATGCTGTCTCCCGTCTTCCAGCTGTCTGGCTGCAAACAAGCTTGCTGCAAGGTCCCCCTTGGTCACAGCTCACCAGCTTGGGGTTCCCCTCAAATCAGTGCAGCTTTCTGCAGCTCTGATCACAAGGGGAGCCACATCGGGTTACAGCTCAGCTTTATTTTATCTTTGAAAACGATGATAAATCCCCCCAAACTGAAAATCAAGAGCAATGTGCACTGTTGTACTGTGTTTCAGGCAAAAGACCTGTCATTTTGAATTTGCTAAAGTAATGTGCAAATAATCACTAGTATAAAGCAGATCGTCTCAGGCAGAGGCTACAGATAGAAGAAAATAATCAGTTTTAGAAAACAATCCTAATTCAGAATCGTATAATCTGGATTGGTAAACCTTGGAGGAGCGGGACTAAGACGTCACGCAGGGATTTCTGCTAGCATATTTGCTGAAATTTCTGTCTGGAAATGTGCCTGTCTGTTTTATCCTGCCCTCTTTGAGGCTCTCAGAGCAAACTTCTCCTGGGGTGAGATGATGAGTGCTTGAAAGTGACCCGTCTGGAGCCCAACGTGAAGAAAGCTCTTCCCCTGCCTGGAATTTGTGTGCAACAAAAACTTTCTCCTGCCTGTCCAAGTTTCCCAAGATAGCAATTATAAAAGAACTGGCAACCCTACAGTCAAGACGACAATATCCTACGTGGTTTGGTTAGCTGTGCCAATTCCCTCTACTCGCGGGAGTCAATATGCTGCCGCCATTATTGCTGCGTCTGCGTGTCTCTACCAACTAGCAGATCCACTGGGCATTTTGGCACTACGCCACTCTTCCAAGGGCGGCCTGCTCAACTGCACATTCACTCTCTTTCAAACATTCAGATCCAACAGCATCATGTAAATTTTATGCAAAGTAGCATCTGCAAGTCTGACGTATTCACTGAGGCTTCCCCCTCTTGCGCCAAGTTAAAAATAAATACTCTATAAACTCTTGGGCCTGCTAAGACAGAATATGCATTCAGAGAGTTTTTTAAATATAACTGCTAAGAGCATCTCTCCATTAGGGTCAAACTATTTTTTTTTCCCCCTCTCTCTCTCTCATATTTTGCTCCTGCCTCAAGGATCTCAATAGCACTGGGGGGAAAAGTGTCCTTGAAATAACCTGCAGAAGAATCAGTTCTATGTGTTCCTAACTCGCTTACTTGAAATTTCAGTTAATATCTGATTTTAAAAATTCCATAAAATACAGGTGGTGATATACCTGCACCATGAAACAAGAAACTAGTAAAGTAGACTTCTTTCCAATACTGATTAGAAATAATACTAGCTGAGCTAGATGTTAGGTTCAGATTTCAAAGGGTCTCCACCCCCCACACTAGAGCTGCCTTCTCTTTTCTCCAGGGAGAAGCAGATTTGTCCATGACCAATACACTTGAACAGGTGAAGTCATAGAGATGCCAACCAGATAGCATAATGATAAAATATATCTTAAGGCAACAAGGAGAAGAGTCTGTAAAAGGGGATACTGAGCCACGGCTGAGGTCAGTTATGACTTGCTGAGCCGCTTGGCCACGTCTGCGTAGGCTTGCTCAATTTCTTTGTCTGCCGCACAGGTGTTGGTGAATTCATCCCTGGCATACGCGTTCTTCAGGTACCGCCACAACCCCGTCATCTCCGTTGGGAACTCAAAGTTGCGGTATTTCTTTGCAACGATCTAAACCAAAGATAAAAGAAGGAAAAAAGCACATTGCTAGTGATGTATCTCCAGATTACTTTTTAGAGAGCTTCTTACTCTTTCTTGTCATATAATAAGTAACAAGGGAGAAAAAATATTTAGAGACTCAGAGACTTATAATAGAAAAGTCTGAAAAGTGACTGTTAGCTGTCCCCCATCTTGCAAGGATGCTACTTGACCTAAGGACATTCTAAATCAATGGCCTGGCTACTGTCACCAAATTATGACTTTTATAGTACCCGAAGTTCATTAATTTCATCATATTGGTTTTCGGTGGTTTTACCCGTCTTAAGTACATCACTTAAAGCTGAGATGCCACATAAGAGCCGATTAGCTGAATATAAAAAGCAAGATAGATTTTAGAGAAAGGCATTAGTAACAATTATATATACAATGTTTTCATAATAACTATTATATTTAACATATTTTATTTTATATATACTATTCTTAATATATATAATATATTTGGGCTGGCCAGTGGTGTCAGAGGACGTAACCACCTACAGCTGTTGCAAGGCTCTATCTGTGTTCATGCAAAGTAAAATTTCAGGGTGGTATGGGTACCATGATTGAGAAAACAAGATGGTTTAGCAGACATTAGAAACAGGAGTGTTAGGATAACCTGGGGAGAAAATGGCTATTTCAAGACTTTTTAGACTAGGAAATTGTCTATCAAGGGAAATTTTTGATTTCTAAAAACACTCAGGCCCTTATTCAGGAAAGTAGTTAAGTGCATACTTAATTTTAAGCACCTGTATAGTCCCATTGAAGTCAATGGGACTAATCTGTGCTTAAAGCTAGTTGGTTGGTAAGTAGATTGCTGGATTGGGATATTTCAGTTTTCCTGTAAGAATATAGCGTACAGAATAATCCTGTGGTGACAGAATGAACTAGCTGATAGGAAGGGATGGATTAGCTGGTTTAATGAGTGCTTCCAATCTCTAATTTTTCTGACAGTATAAAATTGTTCCTGGGCATAAATTACATACATATGTGCCACAGAGTTCCCCTTTATTTTTAAAGCACATGGTAGAGCTGTTTTCCATCTCAGATTTCTTAGGACAGTCATGTTCTCAGAAATGACTTAGATTTGTTTTTATTACCAGGATCCACTTGGTATATGCAAGTCCAAATCCTGTGCTAAACTGCATTTAACTAAGCATTCTTGCCTTCAATGATGCTTCACACACACATGGGGAAGATAAAACCTGCTGGGCAACTAAAGTCAAGATTTTCACAATTTCCAGCACACATCTTCCATCGAATGAAAAAGTCTTAATAATTTACCCTTTTATTCCATCCGTAAAATGCTTTTCAGGCAATATCCTATGGCTATGCTTGTCTGAGAAAGATTTTAATTCTCTTTAGACATCTTTCATTTCATCTCAAGGAGACAGGAACCAGTAAGGGGCCACACATCCATTTTGCATTGTCTGAATCCAACGTCACCAATGAAAATGAGCCAAAAAAAGAGCTAGACCTCTGAGGATATTATCACATTTCTTACCTAGTGACTTATACACTTTTTTTCCTATTTTTTTTCTATTTTTTGCATGTGTGCAGTCAGCTTCCAGGCTCAGTTTATGTTTTGGCTCATGGAACCAAATTAGATGCATGACTTGGCCTTAATTCCTAGCTTTCTTGCTTCCAAGGTCTTGCAGGTACTTGCTTTATTCTAAAGAAACATGTAATCTGATAAATTAAATAAATGCAACATTTAGAAGTCAAGATGATGTACACCATTTGCACTATACCAGCGACCATTGTACATCTTAAATCCTGGACCTCAGCAGTGACTTTGATTTGCTGACCTCTCTGTGTGAAATACCAGCTGGAACAGATATTCCCCCAAAAGATGAACTGCTGCTCTTAAGTTACAAATGGGTGGGAACTGACTACATTTTTGACACCTCTCTTTTTAGAATAATGGGAAATAATTAATATGAAATATGCTGTTACTTGCAGTAGGGTAAAAATAGAGACCAGATACCTAGATAGTAATATTGGCTTTGCCACTAATTAGTGATGGGACAGTTTCCCCATGTACAAGATACAAAGTTGCGTAAGTTAACCTATAGGAAATACTGAGGAGCAAAAGTGTGTTTGAGACTCTGCTCTTTTGGGACTTAAGATGCCTCTGCTGAAATACATGTTGGATTTAGGTCATGGCTGTCGGAGCAGGGCACTTCATTGTCAAAAAAGGCTTCTTTGACATTCACATGACATCTTTTACCTTGACAACATGGAGTTTGGGCAGAAGGTTGCAGTCAGCAAGAGTCAGGTCATCTCCATCCAGAAACTTGCGTTTAGACACTTTCTCTTCTTCAGTGCTGTTTGCATCAATCTCCTCTGGCAGAGGGGTTCTCAGGTAGTCATCCAGCTTCTTCAGAGCCTTCACCAAGCCTCTTTCAAGGGCTTTGCCAAAAAAGCAGTGAATAAGTGAGTAGGGCACACTAAGAATTATTTAGAAACACTCATTGTCAATGGCTATGATAGTATCTAGAAAAAAAAGCCAAGAACCATTTCTTTGTTGTTAATTTGTGCTCCCGAACCTACACAATCCAATGACAAAGTACAATGGGAAAAGGGGACACAGGAAACTGTTGTGCCATGTCTTCTCCTGACTAGCAAAAAAAAAAGTCTATACACTGCTACATTATTTTTCTAAGCAACCAGGTAGGACTGTAATGAAGAGGAATTTTCCAGCATTACTTCAGCTCTAAAAAGTTGTAGTTTTACCACTTTTAAACCCCCATCAGAGTAATTAAAGGGAATAGCAATAATTCCAGAGATGCTAAGCAGATCTCTACAGAGCTGGAAGATACAGTACAACCGACATGAAAGTAATATAACAATCATTAAATACAATGCTAACAAAAGAGATGAGATAGCCACTGTTAAGATTCCCCTCAACTTAGGTGCAAATTCTCCTTTTGATAACATCTCAAATCAGGTATCATAATCAAGAAGAGACTTTGAACCTCTCACTTCAATTACTAAAGACCATGTCCCACACTGTTGCTGGCTCCAACAAATTCCAGACTTAAAATGCCACTTAGACATAATGTAGAGTATAATTTTTTTACTTAAAAATATCAACCCAGGTACAGAATTTGTGTTCTTATGCTTTACCAGAAGGATAATAGATAAACTTGATTGTAATAATGCACTTAGAGAAAGCTGAATGACTGTGCGCAGGTTTGCATGTTATTTAAACTGCAGTCTGGGGCAAAAAGGGTCTTTTGCATCTCTGTTTGAAGGTGGCAAGCACGATGGGGTCCTGGCCCCTGGCAAGTGCCCCAAAGTGCTAAAGCAATATAAATAAGAAACAGCAAGAATTTACAATGTGAAAAAATAACAACATGACTGATGGGCTTAGGGCCAGAATTTCAGCTGGTGAAAATTACCTGCAGTGATTTATACCTGCTGCAGATCTGGCCCAGAGTCAGCATTCAAGGCCTAATCCTGTAAAATCTCATATCTCTGAGTAACTTACGGCCATTTAACTTAGGGGAGACTACTCAACGCGTCAAGTTACTCAGTTGGTGTAGCACTACAAGGCCTATGGAGATAAATATATTTACAGAGCACAACGCAAGTTTCAAAGGGCTGCGGCGATCGCCCTGTGTGGAGCAGCTTGCTGGCACAGGTAGCTCCGCTGGCTCTGCTGTCAGCCGCCCCGTGTTTTTGGCACGGAGAGAAAGTCGGCGCATACAGGGCCATTGAGAGAGCAGGAGCTGAACACCACAGAACATGATTTCTCTGCTGCCCTAACATCCATTAAACCTTGTGCCAGCGGTGGAAGTCAGATTAAGCTGCCTGATGTCTTGCTCCCACTGAAGTCTCTTGGCCGAGCACCAGGGAACCATACCAGCTCTTTTGTGGCTGACTCTTAGGCACAGTGGCAAATCCTGGCTTAATTGATTGACTGGAGAAATGACTGCGATCCAACTGAAAACACCCCAACAAACATAGCAGGGAGAGAAAGAATTTTATTTCTGAAAGCAGAGCATCTAAAGCGACTGAAGTGCTGCCATCCATAAAACAAAAGTGTTGCCATCCCTTATTTAATCAAATTGAATTTTGACACTGACAGTCTGCTGTCAGATGCTGGCAGTGGTGTCTTTAATCGCCTGCAGCTGTGCTTCGCCGCACAACTTCTACTGAAGGGTAATAACTGCACAGCATGTAATATACCCCCATGTGGCAACACTCAAAAGATTTAGCAATCTCTATTTGGTTTGACCCATAACACCTGTTGAATAGATAGTTCTCCTTCTCTTGGTGAGCCTCAGATTATATCCTCTTACAGTGAATTCATTTAGAGACAATAGAATTGAATTACTGTGATTTAATTGAATTTTACACATTCAGATTTTAGAGAACTGGCTTAACGCTGAGCATTTTCCAGTATGCCCTTCACCAAGAACATTGTTGGTTCTCGAAGTCATCTGTGCAATATTTCCAGTACCAGTACTACATTAGATGCTTCGTGCTAGCCCATGGGGTGTGTTAGGTGTGTGTACGAAGACAGGAGCATCAGGTGATATGTGTTTATGTAACTTTTCTGGAACTTATTACAATTGGGGTTTTTTTTGTGTGCTCTTATTGATATATCAAAGTGCGTCATGGCTGTCTCAAAAACAATGCCTGGAGTGAAGCCTATTTGTGACAGTGGGAAAAACATCTATCTGAATTCATACTTGGTGCTTGCGTACAACAGCTTTAGGCCAGAAATAAGCGTATGTTCAGGGTTCAACACATCTGTGACCTAATTCACAAGCTCTGCTGGAACCCACAGGATCCTGAGTTCTCCCAGTGAATTCACCACACGGTCAGGACCACCTCATATCCTGATAGTGAAGAATTGGACCACTACTTGTGACTCCAATGACCCTGTTTAATTAATCAAAACTCTTCTAATCCTAGTAAATCTCTCAGAACAGCCATGAAAATAGAAGAGTAGTGAACAAGGGAGAACTGTCTTTCTTCCAACTGAATAGTGACAGAATTTTGAAAAGCTAAGAGAATTAAGATCCTAAAATTGCCATTTCAAATGGAGTTTAGGTGGACACGGTCAGATTTTTAAAACCTGTCAAAGGTTTTCAAGGGGGTTTTTTAATCCATATGCAAATATTCATGTTGAAAATCCTAATTTCTAGGTGCCCTGTAACATTCAGTTTTATATATACAATAAGAAGTCTTAGGTTCCTTGAGAATGTGCTCAGAGAAATCTCCACTTAAAGTAGGAGGATATGTAAAAGAATCTCAAAAATACTGAAGCAAGAGGCTTCTAAGCCCCCCACATTAGAGAAAGACAAGTGTCTAATGCTGGCATAGGTCGGAGAACACACCTTATGTTTGAATTCACCAGTGACCTCACAGAAGAGAGAGGTATCAGAAGCAGGTCAGATCAGATTTTTTCCTTCTCACAAAACTTTTTGGGGAAGTGCAGTGATTTTACCAGTGGTACAGGGAGAGCATTTTCCTGGAAAGTGGAAGACTGAGTTTCAAATGCCTTTTCAACATGATGTCAGCCCAGATCTGCCAGATGAGACCCCACCTGTGGAATATCAGCTGTGTACAGCTCTCCTGTTGAATTGTTTCACTTTTGGTAAATAACTCATCATTCAGTGGATCACAACTGAAGGCTGACACCACATGTAAAAGTCAGGAAAATTCTCTCTCTCATTTTCTCTCTTATCTGATCAATATGTAAGCAGAGACCAAGAAATAACCTCCTCAGAAGCTGTAGCTTCTGAAGGTTTTGGGACTCTTGCTGCAGAAAGAGTTGTCATATTTCATATTACTGAGCAAACTCAGCGGAAGAAAGAAAGATTTCATTCTAAACCTCTCATACTGTGACTATTTTGGGAAAATCTGGACATCTCTACATGTTGTCTTCACTGAGAACATAGGGGACAGCAGGCACTCACCAGGGCAGGGTTCTCGTGAATACCAGTCACAGCACTAGACTGAATAAAGACATTTTAAAATATGTGACTAACTAAAAAGTGACTAATTCCCCATTGGTGAACCTGCTACCCAAAATGAGTTTCAGAAATGGCTAAGCAGCAAATTCCCTTGGCGACTTATCCTCTTAGTAACATCATTAAATAACTAAATAGGTCTGCTGATAACAGCTGAGGCTCCATTGCAAGTCAATCAGTGGGAATAATCTTCCCTGAAGGGAGTAAATTAAATTAATAAGTTTGAGTTAAACACCCTGATCTTCCTCTGTAGTCTCTTCTATACTTGGTTCAGGTGACTCCTAAATCAGCTGTGTGGAGAACTTCTCCTAAAGCATCTAATCTCAGCCTCGCATGGTCTTGGGAATGTCAGCGCAGAGGATTCATTATTACAAGACCAGGAGGAACTATGTCTGAGAATATGGCTCAGTTCTGCTTTTGAAATTTCTACCTCCAATTGCTTCCCCACCCTGCAGACTTTCAGTATGAACTTAGAGATCCCAAACGTGACCTCCTCTGCAAGAGGAGCCCTGTCATCAGATTTGCAACAACTGCAACATCTGCCCTTTTACTCCGCTCTTGTGAGACCCCACCTGCAGTACTGCATCCAGCTCTGGGGGCCCCAGTACAAGACAGACATGGAGCTGTTGGAGCAAGTCCAGAGGAGGCCACGAAGCTGATCAGAGGGCTGGAGCACCTCTGCTATGAGGACAGGCTGAGAGAGTTGGGGTTGTTCAGCCTGGAGAAGAGAAGGCTCCAGGGAGACCTTACAGCAGCCTTCCAGTAACTGAAGGGCCTACAGGAAAGCTGGAGAGAGACTCTTCATCAGGGCATATAGTGATGGGACAAGGGGGAATGGGTTTAAGCTAAAAGAAGGTAGATTTGGATTAGATATTGGGAAGAAATTCTTCCCTGTGAGGGTGCTGAGGCACTGGAACAGGTTGCCCGGAGAAGCTGTGGATGCCCCTGGCTCCCTGGCAGGGTTCAAGGCCAGGTTGGATGGGGCTTTGGGCAACCTGGTCTAGTGGAGGGTGTCCCTGCCCATGGCAGGGGGTTGGAACTAGATGATCTTTGAGGTCCCTTCCAGCCCAAACCATTCTGTGATTCTATGAACTCCTGGAAATCATCTTTCTGGACAGTGAAATCCAAGTGCAAAGCACCAACATCGTATTGCCTCCACAGTGATGTATTTAATATAACTTCAAATTCCAAGAAGTTCTACCTGCACATATACAGAATCCATGGTGGAACTATCTCTCTCACCCTTCACTACTCCACTCCGGGCTACTTATGCAGCCAAACGCAACATGCAGCAATCACAGTCCTGACGTGCCATCCCCCCCAGTAGTAAACAACGATATTAGTAAAAAAAAACTCACAAGCTCTTTGTGATTTTCCTTCTTCCTTCAAAACTATGCTTTTATACAACTTTACTCAAGAATCCTG